ACTTGAGTTTTTTTGATTCAGAATAATTTTCAAGTATGTGTTCCCTTAAAATTATACATTTAAATTAACTACAACTTAACCAGCCTCAACCTGTTGACTCTTGCTTGCATCAAAGCAACATTTAATTTGAAACTTTTATAATTATATTCTTTGAAGTGAATTTAAGGTACACAATAAGCATTCATTAACATAAGAGTGTGGCTTTGTAGTCAAGCAGACTGAATTCAAATTCCTTACTAACTGCATAACCTCAATAAATTTACTTACGTCCTCTGAGAGAAAAACTTCAACTTTACTGAGTGTCTATAGTAGTGGTGATTTATATGCATTGCTTCATTTAATCTTTACCTGAGAAGACTGATATTTCTATTTTATAGATTAAAAATATAAAGTTTAAAAATTAAGCAACTTTCCTCAAATACTTGCTCTTCCCATGAGAAAATAGCTGCTGCTAGCCATACAGAAAACTGCATTCAGGGTGACATCTGTACCTGCCACTGTCTTTGCTAACTAGCCCAAAACCCTTTTGTTTGCTGATGCTACTGCTTACATGGAAAACCCACTCTACTCAGAAATAATTCGCTTGCTTGATTTAGCTTCTGTAACTGCTTGCATAGAAACCCCTGGAAACTGACTCCCTATAAAAAGACTACTCAAATTTCAGTCAGGGCTGCAGTTCTGACTCTCAACCCCCGAGTCTTATGCTATTTTTGCTGTCCATCTAATAAAGACTCCCTTTAACCTTTAAAAAAAAAATACAATTTGGACAGCTTTCAGACACTGTCTGGCTAGTCATCAAAATTAGACTTAAAAGTCAAGCATCATTTTAACTAAACTTTAATGAAAATTAAGTGCCAAACACTAATCATTTTCATCCAGTATCTATTTGTATTTTTTTTTTTTGCCATAAAGAGAAGCCTATACATTTTACTTTATTTCATTTTTAAGTTTATTAATTTATTTCTCCCAAGATACAGAAACAACACGCCTTACAGGGTCTTGATGCTATGCCCCCAACCTCAGCCTGCCCACAGTCATGGATATGTGCCCAGTATACTCAGGGAGGTTTCCAGACACAAACCCAGCACCCTCCGATGTGGGTCATGGCAATGTTGCATTGTACTGCTATGCTACCATCTTGCCCACAAAGTTCACACATTTCAGATAGATATACAGCCACTTGGCCTGAGACCAGTCACAACCTCCCTTGTTTCAAGGGCCACCATATGACTGTTCTTGCAGAGAGGTCAACAGAAATGATGTTTGCAACATTTGGTATATATTCTTGAAAAGAAGCTTTTTGCCTTTCACTTTTTCTTTCCCGTTCGAATGGAACAGAATTTAAAAGTTATGATGGGGACCCTTCTTCATCAACACAGATGAGAGCAAAAACCTAGGGAATGCTTGAGTTAAGAGAGGAGGGACTCGGATCTTTGGGTAACAGTGTAGAGAAGAACCACCTGCCATATGGCTACTTACTGCTCTGACTCTTACTTGAGAGAGAAATGACTCTTACGTTTGTTTAAGCCAATGTATTTGCTCTCTGTTGAAACATCCAAACAATATTGTAATGATCCTACATTTTTTTTTTTGCTATTTTTAATGTGGCTACTAAATATTTTAAGTAATATATATGACTCACTTGGTATTCCCATTGGACCATGCCACTTTAGAACATATTGTATATTCGTGGATTAGATTGGCCAGCTATACACCAATCCATGTCCTTTTCCTCTGCATTTACAGTTATGCCACATTTACTATTGGGCCAGGGGAATACAGACAGGACTGCCAGACCTGTCTCATAGAAACTTTCCACTGGTGATCCACCATGTCTATTGCTTTCAATGGTCTTGTCAGCAAAACAGTGAAGATGGGGAAACCAAAGGTGAATTAGAGCCTGGATGCTTATATTTCTGTGTGAAAGAGAAATGTCCAGAGATAATGGATACCTGTTTGGGGCTTCACCTTGCAAAATATGAACTTTTGATAGGTTGAGGCATCAAAATTGGGATGTATATGTCCTGAATCAGCTGCACTATCTATTTGAACTAGTTAAGTACTTGCAAGCAAGAAGATTTTTTCTTTGAAAGATACCAGAGCAATAGTTACAGGAACATTGAGAGGATTATATAATACAGATCCATCTTACATTATCAGAATCTCACATGTTCTAATGTTGGAGAGAGACACATTCCTTCCTGGCCATCCAGTGTACAGTAGCACATTGCCCCTCTTCTGTGTCCTTCAGCAGATTAATGTTTGATTTCTGCAACCTTCAGCCTAGATCTGAGACATTCAATGTGAAGTATATTACTGCAACATTCTGTGTGCCATAGCACATGGAGTATGCTGGTATTAAATTTCCATCATTTTTTTATTTGTCATTATTATTATTTTTTAATTTGATACAGGCACTCACCAGAGACAGAGTGCTCGTGCAAGAGAGAAAGGGAGAGTGAGAAAGCAAGGTGGCGGATTCGGGACTTGAGCCATAGTCGGTCATGTGGGAGTCCAGTGCCCCAACCACCACACAATCTTCTGGTCCCCAGGTTCAATTATTATGAGTTGTTTTTGTTTGTCTGCTTATTTTAAGAAAAGACTTATAAACGATTAGGTTAGCACTTTTCCTTTAGTTGAAATCCTTACCATCAGAATAGAGCCACTTATTTAAGAAATGATGTTTGGTATATGGTAGTAGGTGTATCCTTGAATGGCACCCTGTGTTTATTTACCTGCAGAGATATCTAAGCAGGCACAAGTGTTTACAATTATTATTTTAATTCCATTCCTCATAGGACATAGACCTTGTAAAATCTGACTAGCAAATAGCCCTGAATAGCAGCTAAAAATCAGCCTAGAAAGTAATGAGAGGGCCCAGAGGTGGCATAGTAGTTAAGGTGCTGAACCTCCACATGGTCGACTGAAGTTCTAGTCCTGGACCAGGTGGCTTGAAATTTTGGGTGTGTGTGCCCAAAATTTGAAGAGAACAATGAAGGAGAAGGGATCACGACATGGTCATTCTCCTTGGGATGTGGTTTCTCACTTTCTCTCTCTCTGTGTCTCCGGCTAGCCCTGTAGAAAAAAATCTATGAAAGAGAAAGAAAGAAAGAAAGAAAGAAAGAAAGAAAGAAAGAAAGAAAGAAAGAAAGAAAGA